ATATATATATAGACATTTTCCTTTAAAACATTTTCTTTTAAGCCAGCTTAGAGAAAAAACTCATAACAGTTCTACAGATAATGATTTCTGTACCTTGGTCCAGATCCAAAACCAAGCACACTTGTTCCACCTACAACAGGCGAGTCAAGATGGGACATATTTCGCAAATGAGAGGTTGGAAAGTTTGAAGCCATCAGCCCCAGCGGTGTCCCAACAGGCTCTGTCGAACACCTCAAGACTGTGGAACGCTCCTAAAACAAGGGGATTAAGGTTAGAAAAAGAAATGGAACAAAATTGTTTTTATGCATTTCCATGAGGATACCTACGTCCTGTGTGACTTTGCGTAGGGCCCACACAGTATGTGTTCCTTGAATAGTGTCATATGAAACAACTATAGAAGGCTGGCAGCAGGTGAACACTATTTTCATGGTGGAGTCAGACATGTATTGAACACGGGAGCCTTCAAACAGGCCTACAAAATGATTAAGACAAAGACCAGTGATCACTCAAAAAGCAGTCCGAAGGCAGCGAGTGAATCTGTTTGAATGCGCTATACCTGAAGGTTTGGACACAACCGGTGCAATTTCATCTAAAGGATGCAGCATACTGAATACTGTAGGCATATGTTCCCTGTAAAGAAAAAAAAATCTTAATCTTCATGAATCTGCAATACACAATGGAGTGCCTGTTCTGTGCACACACGTGTGCTTGTGGTGTGTCACAAATCAGTGCATGTATGGATACATCTAAACATATTTTGCTCTTTGACTCGATCTTGTTACCCAGGCAGGTTGAATTGTGTGTCATTTGATGAAATTTTCCGTTCCAACAAAAGTCCGAACTTTGTCACCCAGACATCTGAAACCTAAATAACCAAAAAATGAGACAATAAACAAAATAAATGACTGATGAATCGATTTTTATGCTTGACAGATACACTGACATTAGGGCTGTGCGGTATATGCGGTAGACCAGGGGTCCCCAAACATTTTCCTGTAAGGGCCACATAACTTTTCCCTTCTCTGGTGGGGGCCGGAGTCAGTTTGTAACAGAAAAAGTGTGACTACTGCAGGAGTGCCTAAATGTAAAAATTTATTGTTTTCCAGAAAGCACAATCAAATAACCCTCTCTGGGTTCTTCACAGTATGTATTCTGCTGAGCTGACAGTCCACTTTTTAGCTTTGAGAGTTTGTTTGCTCGCATTTGGCCTTGCAAGCTATCATACTTGTCTTTGTGACAGGATTCATAGTGTCGCCGCAGATTTTCTTTGAAAACCTCCACCGCCTCTTGACAGATGAACAAAAAAATAATCATTTGTCCACTGAAGCTTAAATCCTCTGCATTCTGGATCAATTTTTCTCTTACCTAATCTTTTCACCATTATTCCGTTCTCTCTTTGAGAGGGGCGGGTTTAGGATTTTTTTCTGGGGGTTGCCAGATAGGGGCACAGACCGCAGAAGGGTGGAACAGAATGTTATGTTATATGTGTGTATGTATGAAATAGTTACTAACTAATAATAGTTAATAATGAAAATAGTTCATAACTAAGGAACATTTTATTGCAGAAGTCCAACTTTATAACAGGGCTGTGTATTGGCAAGAATTTGGCGATACGATACATATCATGACAGAGGGGTCACGATACGATGTATCCCGATATATTTCGATACTGTAAGCAAGGCGATATATTGAGATATTTTTGGTCCAAAAATTGGTAAGCTAAAAAAGTTAAACCGTTTTTGAAGCGAACACAGCAAAATAAAGTATATGGACTTTGATGCGATCATTAGCCGGACATTAGCTATGTTTACATGCACAAAATTTTTTAATCGGATTTAAATGTATTCAGATTAAATAATCCAAATGTACTGTTTACATGGACGCAATCCGATCATGAAAAGTGTTTACATGCACCTGAGTTTTATTCAGAATAAAAGTCCGGACATGCGCAATGTTGTAAACTTTCAGCTCTACTTCCGTGTTACAAATGTAAATAACGCTCCTCTGTGTGCTCAAGACGGACCTGTGTCAGCTTTTAATAACGGTAGAGACGCCGTTACTCATCGGTTGAGCTGCAGCCTGCAGATGAAGCAATACCTGCTTTTTATTTTTATTTTATGTGAAGCAACGTCTGCTGTTTGCCTCCTTTTTCATCTGTTGAGAGAGTGAGGACGAAAAGTTCTGCACGGTGCTGCACAGCTGGAGCGCTGCTGTCCCACCGGGTGAATGAAAGTCAGCAGACATGCACACAGGTCAGTTTTCTACAATCAGAATAAAATGATCCGATTAAGTGTTTACATGAACGTCATTCCGATTATTAATCGGCATAGCCAACCCTTTTCATTCGGAATAAAATTCATTCGAATCGAGCTCAATCGGATCAGAATAATCGGAACGGGCTGTTTACATGACACATTTTTATTCCGAACGGCTGTTTAATCCGATTACTTTTGTCCATGTAAACGTAGCTATTGAGAGCAACAGACAGAGTTTTATGTCACGGGGGGAGTGCCGAGCTCGCTCGAGGTGATAAGACGCATGGGCTATATGTGTAACGTGAAAGCTGACTACAGTTGGAAAAAAGAGCGCACAACACACTTAATTTGTCTTAAAATACAGACATTCTGACAAATAAGTAACTGTTTGTAACCTTACCTCAGCTTAGAAGGCAGAGGGTGTCGGTCTTTTCTGCTCAGATTCAGCTATCGGAGCATGAAGCTAATGTTTACTTACAATGCTAATGCTCTCTTACTCTCTGGCGCTCAAGAGGTAGAGGAGCCACATGGCTGGCTCACTGCTGCCAACTAGTGGTCAGAGGCTGAACTACAACATAAAAATGAACGACTGGCAGGAAAGTTGACATTTTAAACCTTAATAAAAATCGATACAGGGCTTTAGAATATCGATACAGTATCGGGAAATGAAATATCGCGATATTTCAGTGTATCGATATTTTCTTACACCCCTATTTATAATCAAATATAAATACACATATATGAAAAAAAAACCTAAATGCTCTCTGGTATTGTTTTGGGGGCCAGACCAAATGGGGAGGTTGGCCGGATCCGGCCCGCGGGCCGTAAATTGGGAACCACTGCGGTAGACGGTAGAAACGGTATGAAGTTGGCCAATGGTAGAAATTTATACTCTGCCGTCCTATCGTCATTACGTCATCGCACCTGTGAGTGCAGAGACAACTGAGCAGGAGTTCGAAATATAATGAAGAAATTACAGCGTTTTAAAACACGTATAGAGAATAAATCCTCTAAATTTTCTCCTTCTGCTGTAGAAAAGTTACGTCGTGTAACGGGATCATTTCCTCCCTCCCTCGCGCTGCACGTTGCGCAGAGCAAAGCTTTAACAACTGTAGTTTTTCACACCCAATTGTCGGAGAAAAAAATGTTTTTTATGTATTGTTACCCACAGAGATTATTAAAAAAAAGACGTGGATGTTCGTTCAGTCGTAAATCCATCTTGCTAATGTAAAGTCGGCTTCCGCTCTAACAATGAAGATGATGAAGATGAGCGAGCAGCAGAGCAGCAGCTGATAAGTTCAGCAGGCAGAAGCTCATTGTTTGGCAGGCTGATATTAAAGCAAAAATGTTGGGTTTAATTAAGATTACAGTTTTCTGAAAAAAAAAAGCTTTAAAAATTACATTATCCTAACTTTTTATGATAATTTTCTACCGCGATATATACAGTTACCGTGAAGGGATTCAATTTATACCCTGATATGAATTTGAGGTCATACCGCCCAGCCCTAACTGACCTGTCTGAGCCTGTGAATATAAAAATAATAATGCACCAATGTGTCTATTTTCCTCACCTGGAAAGGTAGTGGTGAGATAAAATCTTTTCCATTCACAGTGTGCACGTTGATACAGCTACTCTGGACAATACACACTGTCTGCTCAACTTCCTCCTCTGCAAGGACAACAGTTCAGATGTAAGTAGATGTTTTTACAAAAGTGCACTGCTGATAAAAGAAAAAGCTGCAACAAGTCCTACTCCCAAGTAACCATCAGCTACCATAAAAATTACTCATTTTGTTAAGGCTTTAATATAACTGTACCATCATTGTTGTTCTGAGGAACGGCAAAATTACACCACAATGCCTGCAGAAAGTAAAAAAAAAACTGTGTCAAACTACAAGAAAACTTTAATTAGAAATTTGTAAATAAATAAATAAAAACACATTACAATGAGCTTACAAAAGAACATTTACATTTTTCTATGAAGAATTGGTCCATTTGTCTAACCTAAGATAATCATGTAATTGACAAATTTTCTGCCATCTAAATGCTTTATTTACTCTTGTGTTAAAACTAAAGTAAGTACTGTCGAACATAAACAATGGCTTTCTGATGTGTCTTAAAAAGAAGGCTTCAATAACAGTAATAATGATGCAACAAATAACCAACCTGCTGCACTGGGCTATCAACAGTGAAAGCCTTGTACACACTAGAGGCTTGTGTGTGGCTGCCTTGGCTCCAAACAACCATGTTTCCTGCAGTATATAGTTCTTCTTCAAACTCTGATTCATTCTCTTTGACTCCCTTGCAGCCCTTCCTTAGCTGCCACCATTCCTGCCATTTAAAAGACATCTATTAGGATGCAACACAGAAGAACTAAAACCACAATAACAATTAAAATAAACAAATTCACACCGTTCACATATCATGCAATCTCACCCTTTCTCTCTCCTGCAGACTGACTTCCTGCAGGGACCCTACCAAGCCAGCAGCACCATCTGATGACCAGAGCTCAGAGGCTGGTTGGAGCTCTCGAAGCTGCAGGTTGAAAGCATTTGGATGGTTCCTGCAGTGCTCGCGGCCAAATGGGACAAACGACTGCAATTCCCCTGCGGCAATCATCGTAGCTGTTTCTTCATACACGACTTCCGACATGAGTTCCAGATTTCAGCATTATTTCTGGGATGAGTGAGAGGTGTACATGGGAGGGGGGACAAATAAAGAAACATATTTTCAAATGACTAACTTCAAAAAATTTAAAGAATGTAGAAGTGTTATGTTAGGCAAACCATGACTACATTTTTCAATCCACTAATGACTACATTTGAGTTAACAAACATAAAACTGCATGACATGCTTTACAATATTGCTAATACTCACAAGTAAATGTTTTAATTTAGATATAGTGTGATCATTTAATACTAAAGCAAAAACATAAGTAGAAAGAAAAGTGATTTTACAAATGTTAAAATTTTTGTGAACTATAAGGAGTCAGTGATTATTAAAAATTGTCAAATATGTTTAGACAAATCAAAGACAATGCATTCACATCAGTAATAAAAACAACATGACTATAAATTTAAAAGGCACATCTGTGTCATCTAAGACAGTTTCTACTCTACAGCACACTATTTTTCAATAGTTTTCTTGAGGACTTCATGAAAAAACTATGGCAAATTGTGACGCAAAACAAATCTTAACAATAAAGTTACTGTTTCACCAAATAATTTGAGATAGAAAAGTACAAGAAAGTTGCATCATGACGCTGATTTTGGCTTTTATGTCTACAATCAAACGATGATTAAGTTATAAGTCACTTCATACTGATAAGTAAGCCGGAAGGTTTTTAGCTCAAAATAGTTGGAAATACAACATTTAACGTAGGTAACCAAGAGTTAGCATGCTAAGGCTAAGGCTAAACCCAGTTCCATTGCTGTCACTGCCTCAACTAGCGTACAAGCTAACGTTAGCTTCGGCTAGCTTTGAGTTTGCAGGGAGATGTTAATCCGCTTACCTGATAATAAGGAATAGTCTGGCTCTTGTCGCGGAGTCCTCGTCTTTCCTTTTTGAAAGGCTTGCTTGAGCACTACGTCGTCACTAGTGCTAACATAAAAACGTGAATTTGTCTCCTGTCTGTAACAGGTTTTCAAATGACCGCGGACATCTTTGCTGTCCCATCAGCCTCTTTTTCCGGGTTTCAGCCAATCAGGAATGACTAACGAGTGATCTGAGAGCTGATTGGCTGCAGCTGTCAGTGACAAGCTGTTACTTGTGGCGTCATTCGTCTGTTCACAAGACATAAAAACACTTATTTTTTGTTAATTATTATTTATTTGACGTTGTGAATAAAGACACTCGTAGTCTAAAGTTAGTTTCTCTTTAGTCAGCAGTTCTGTTTGGCTTGTCAGATGTTAGCAGGGTAAACATATGATATGGACAATATTCAGATTTGGGTAAGAAGGGGTTTTAGTGGGTTTTGGATTTTAGTTTTGGATTCGTGCCTCACAAACAATTGCCAGGTCAGTTGTTGAGTTTCTGTATTTTCTGTCTGTTCATTCAACATTAGTTTGCTGTATTACAATGAGCATCACAATAAATAATGAGCATTGCTCTGGCAAAATTTTATTTTGCTAAAATATTAAACAAGTTAAATGAAAATCTTTTTATTGACAGAAATTGAACAAATTATTTTCATTGATTTTTTTTTGCAATTTAACTATTACATTATGTTAAAGTTAAAACCGCAGTGTCACTTTAATGAAATGAATCACCCAACAAGAGATGCAATACAAAAACAGTGAACATTTTACTTTTCTCAACATTTAGACTTGATCACATACTTATAGGGAGGATATTATTAAAGGCAGCAGAGAGAGTAACTGTCATCTCAATTAGGAACAAATGAGGTGATATTTGTTTGGGGAAGAGGTGAGTAATTACCAGAAACTGATTAAAGTCACACAAAGATTTAGGCTTAAACATAATTTCTGAACTCCATAAATACCATTTGTATTGCTTTTCATACTTTTTCTGTTAATATTTTTAATGCGACATGCTTTAGTTACAAATTTGTAACAAGCTAACAAATGTCTGGTATTTGGATTAGTAGTATAATCAGGTCAGGTGTTAAGTTGTTAGATGGAAACAAATGTGTACCATAAAATCTGTAAATAAGAATCCCTATTCCTAAATCACTGGGAGAGTGTCAGGATCTAGTCCTTATGGATATGTTTCCTGACTGAGTTAACCTGCCAGTCAATATCATTTTCAGGTTTTTGTTGAGATAAACCCAATGATGCAGATTTTCACAATGGGGTACATAAGAAAAAACAGCTTATTATCAAAACAAAATCCTGGAGAGGCAGCAGACACTTGCAAAAAAAGGAAACTGCATACAACATAACATAATGACAGGGCAGAAAATAACACATAAATAGAAACTATTATGTAGCAAAAAAATAAGTGCTGAGGGAAATTAGGGCAAGTGGATAAAGCTGAGATTAATGAGTATGATACAGCTGAGATTAATGAGTATGATGAACAGGTGTGGGATGTGGGGTGGGACTTTAATGCAAGGATGACACAAGAGGAACAACAAAATGAAAAGACAGCAGAACATACACTGAATCCACAACACACAAAACACAACAATAATAATAATACGGATCATGACGTGTCAGGCAGAGCAAGTGTTATAAACTACTAAAATGCTTCATCTGTCAAATTAAAATCAAAATGATCACCCCCTGAATATTTCTTGAGTACTTCTGCAACATAATTTCAGAACAAACATTACAAAACATTTGTTGTTCATTAAAAATCAGTGAAACTGTATTTAAAGCATGTAATAAGCTAAAGTGTAAGAAGACAAGTTTGCAGTAGAAGTCATCAGGTACTGTTCGGACATTGTAAATAAAACATAGATGTATATGATTCTTAAACGACTGCACTGTTTTCATTTACATTCAACACAAAATTGCATCTTTATCTTAACTGGTTCCATCAGTACAACTATAAAAGTTATGATTAGATGTAATTTAGATAAAACTGGAAAATAGCAAGCTTCAGAATCGTTTCCACGCAAAATAATTACTGAGCACACTGTTATTATGTTGAGTAAAATTGGCTAATTTCATGCTGCTTTTCCAAGAACACAAAAATGGCGTAGTACACCAACCATAACAGACACCTTGTTATACTTATTTAGCCACAGTGTGTTGACTTTCTGTGATGATTTCATCCTCCTTTAACAGGTGCTCTCGTTCCATTTCTGCACAACAGTGTACGCATCCACGAGCAACTGTGACGCACCAAAGCTGACGGGTTTGGAGCTTTCATGGAGTCATGCTCTGATTCTTCAAACTATGAAACAAATGGCTTGAAACTCCAAGGAAGACTTTAGGAAAGTAGTGCTAAGAATATTCCAGTTCATTACACATTTTGTGCACACTCCGGGTGAAAAATGCATTTTATGAAAGCTGCAGACCCACACAATCAAATGCAATTCAGTTACCTGTGTGGTGCCTATAACATTCACATGTACTTAACACTGCTTCAAGAAGGGTCATTTAGAGTTATTTTCAAGCATGTCAGTCAGTGTGTTGTACTAGAGTGCTCTGTACTGTAACCCACTGGTAAGGTTTTGCACAATATAGGTGTAATTTAAGAAATCGTAAATGGGATTAGATGCAGATTTACTGTATCTCTTTACTTATAATACAGTAATGATGATAAGCTGTGTTGCTGTAACATAAACATTAGCTTCACAAAGTTAGCATCCTATACACCAGTGTTTCCCAAAGTTGGGGTCGGGACCCAAAATGGGGTCCCGAAAAATCAAGGTGGGGTCCTGAAAAGATTTTTGAAATTAATTACATTTTTGCCTTAGTTGTTACAAAGGAGTGAGGTTAGTGTATTTAAAATAGATAAATGTAGTATAAAAATATTGTTACTTTTAATATTAACTGTTTAGTTGACCTGATACAAATGTTTATCATCCTGCTACTGTTATTTTGTGGGTCAAAAGCTGAAAAGTTTGGGAACCACTAAACTTTGGTTCCCAAATTTGGACATGGGACCCAATAATGGGTCATGAAGCACCTTAGATAATCTCCAGAAATTAATTTAAAGGGCAATAAAATAATCACTGATGTAATATTTCCCCCTAACTATTACAAAAACACAAAATAAGTATAAACAAGTATTTATATTTGTGTACAAGCTGTTTAGATTGTCAAAAAGCCTGTGTTTTTAGGGTTATTAACAAAGTTTGTGTACTCAGACCAATAATATTTGGGGTCACAAGTGTTTGCCATGAATATTTTGTGGGTCAGAAGGTAAAAAGTTTGGGAACCACTGCTATACACCATCGATCATTGGATAAAATTCACGATAATCTCTATGCATTAAAGAAACTGGGGGTGGGGGGAAAGTGACGTTTTTCAACATACAATTGAGATTCTATCACTGGCTTTCCTCAGAAACCCTCTGTGGTCCTCAATAGAAGAAAAACTCTTCCAGCACATTTTGACATGTCATGGCTGAAAGGCTCAGCTGTGACTAATGACATCAACAATGGCTCCGCTATGTTCAGATGGGCTGGTGACCCAGCATGCACAGCAGCAGGGCAGCGCCTGAATGGGATGCAGCCATTATTTGTCTCTGATGTTTGACGAGTTAAAAATCTGCAGTGAAAGAATGAAGATTTTACTCCAGATGGATGGTATTACACACCAACCTCCCATTCCCTGCCACCAATACCAAGAGCTTTCAGGTGTTGCAAAAAATATGATAGATAGATAGATGGATAGATAGATAGATAGAAGTTTGGCAGCAGAGGAAACAGAAATGTGACAGAGTCCTCGCATCTTGCTGATAAATGGGTGCAGCCGCAC